TAGATAGAGTGTAAGTTACCTAAGTTTCTAAGATTCTCAACTTAAGTTTGTCTGTAGTAACATGAGAAATAAGGGCTCAAAGATTACCAGAACTGTAATTTATGTACACGGATAAATCAAGGATTAAACAGTATTTCCTCTCTTTGTGTATACACTGCAGGCATTTGGTGCAGTTTCTAGGCAACTTCTCTGAAATTCCCAAGGACAACTTTATAGCTGATGGCTGTTGCTAAGCAACCTCTGCTGGCTGTTGTAATGCTGCCTGAACAATTTAACTGTTTATATTAAATGGCATCCATAATATCCCACCATCTCTGAGCTAACCAAAGCCACACAGCTTTTTTACTACTTAAAAATTCAACACCTACTATTTATTTTAAACATCCAGGAACCCTCTCTACTAAGCATTTCAGAATAAAGCAATTTAGACCCATGTGGTTCTGACACACAATTCTTGCCATTAGCAGGGGGAGGGGGAGTTTTCCAAATGAACATCTGTGGATATATAAACAAACTGAACAACCTTCATTACAGTTTAGTCAAACAATTCACTGAGAAATAGCAAAAAAAAAAAGTTACAAACATGAGTGTTATCATCAGAATCAACCTGACCAACATGGCATGGTCCTGGAAGCTACAGTCTGTGACAGACTATAAAATCCAGAAGAACTTGTCTGATTTTGTAGCAGAAGTGATCTACGGGTAGATGATCAAGAATAATTTACTGTATTGAATAAACAGATTTTTTTTTTTTTCTGTTTACAGGAGCACCTATGTTTCTTTGTGAAATACATCTATATTCAAATGCAGACTGTCTCCATTTGGAGAGCTGCTGCTGAATGAAAAGGGGATGTGCACACCTCTAGGGAACGGAATACCAGTTCCTTGTTAATTTAAAGACACATCAGAACATCTCACTATATCTTAAACAAATCCAGTTAGTTCCCGACCAAATTAAAAAATAAAACCACAGGATTTTGTGCTGTCTCAATTTTAAATTATTTTGCTTTACTTTTCAAAAACACATTCATAAGATGGCCATGATCACAGACAAGTGTTTTTTATCCTCCTCATCAAAACAGAGAATGCTAATTCCAGGTGTTTGGTTCCCCGCTCCCCCAGCCTTTTTTCTCCTGAAGAGTGTTTGTAGCTCTTTCTCCTTCCTAGCCCTATATGATACAATTACTACTGTTGAAGGACAAGATCTTAGAGTTCAGTTCATCCCTGTTTCAATTTAGAACTTAACTTCAACAAAAATGTCAATCTAATTAGGTGTTCTGAGCTATGCAAAAAGTAAAATGCCAATTCTAAATTTTCAACCCTACCTTCACTCAACTACGCTGAACACAAAGAAATCTAGAAACAGTCATGATGCAAAAATATACTGAGGACTCACTCAATAGATGCTCAAAAAAACTCACCGTAACCAGATGTGTAATTGGGGCCTCTGCGGCCTCTCCCTCTTCCGCTGTAGGATCTGGAACCTTGCACTGAGGAGAGGGTGCTCTCATCAGTTGTGTAACCCTTTTCTTTTTCAGGAACCCTAGCAGAAGAAGGTCTGAAACCCATACCAATCTGACGCAACTGTTCATCAATCTGGAGCCTTTCCAGTCTTAGTTGTTCTACCTCCTATGTAAAAGGAAACAAAAAAAAGTTGCTGATAAAGAAATGTTCATTCCCCTCACAAAACACCATCGTCTATCCAGTCATCTTACAAACTACCATTCCTGTAGGACAGTTAACCCCACCTTGAAGGTGACTGCATATAACAGAATTCAGCTATGAGTTCTGCAAACTCTAAAACCTAAAACCTTTCTCTTAAATCACCATGCTGAAAGGCTATTTTTAAGATTATTATTACCTTTCTTAACAACACTTCACCACACGTTTTCTAGTCAAATTAAAAAAAAAAAAGCAAACTGACACAGTAACATGATTCAAAATTCATTCATTATTTCTGTTAAGTCAACACCACAACTCCATACAAAGCCAACTAATCTAAATGGATAATTGTTCTAATACTACATGGTGTGTTGCTGTTAGAAATCCATCCTACCCCAACAGAACATTAACCTCGGAACAGAACACTAACATAGACAAAAAATTGCCTATTACTTCTCAAATGCCACTTCAGTGTTCTTTACAGTCCAATCCTTTCAACACCAACAATACTAAGTAACCATGATAATGTACTTAAAGGCCTACATAACACCTATGGGCAAGGGGTGGGTTCAAGGCACCAAACCTTAAATTCTGATCTATTGAGGAACAGTTTATCAACTTAAATCCCACCAAAGTTGTTGCTCAAAAATTCTGTTACTTCAACCAACGTTTCCTCTACAGAGTCCTTCTGAAATACACTTACCTTCAGATACGCGATGTGGTATTCTAAAAGAACTTGGACATTTCCAATGCTTTCTTTAGTACCAACAAATACGAACGGTACCATTCCCTACAGGAACAAAATGTCAAATCTTATTTTCAGGAAGAATATTATCATCAAAACAATGCTTTCTGTTTAAATTATAAAAGAATCTGTTTAAATTACAAAAGTGAGCTAAACAAGCAGACATAGTAACTGAATCTTGGGCTGCAAAGATGTACTAGCCATAGCTCAGACTGGGGTGAGGGCAGGGGCTTGTATGTTAAGGACTTAAGACTATCCAGCTTTCCCAACAACCTATTCTGGCAGTTGAGGTAACTTGACATGTAGTGTTTATATTACCCCACACACAACAAAACTGCTGTGCGTCTTTATCACAGTAGGTGTGTAGAAGCATCCATACTTCACCAAGAAGTGTCCAGTGGTTAATTAGCACCTTTAGAAGATTTTATCTTATGTTCTCATATATTTGAAATATGTGAACGCTATTAACACTACCAATCCCAATTTAATTACGCAGTTAAGTACATACAGGGGAAAGATTAAAAAAAAAAGTCTTGCTTCAGCAGAAAAAAAAAAACCACCACCCCCAAAACCAAACTGTCTTGAACTATTCCATACAAAATTTACTGCAAGATGCCAGGCTGAAAAAAAACTTAGAAATTGCTCTTTCTATACCCACAGAAAAGTTACAAAACTGGCTTTGTTAAATATTCACAAGCATCTATCCTAGAAAGCTACCCAAATCACAGACACCCTGTCTTTGTAACATGGACATCACCACCATTACAGGTTGGCCATGAAAAAAAAGAATGCATAGGCCACAAAGGCTGTATTTATGAACCGCACAATAATGTGGAGATGAAACAGTGATCCCATTCTGATGCCGTAAGGTGGCACTAACTCATTTGAGTCATGCCCCAGAAATTCTCACTGTCTGCATTATTTTCGCACACATTCTTTGTTAAAAGATTCAACATGACTCATTTTGAAAACAAAAACCTAATCATAGGAAGAAAGAATAAAGTACTTACATCTTCACGGGGCAGTTTATTTTCATTATCTCCTTCAATTCTCACCCTGACGACTCCAGACTTGTCTACAATCTCCTGAATCACTTTTCCATTTTTTCCAATAACTTTTCCTTCAGAGGGCAAGAATGGTTAATTTTGCACCCGTGTGCAAAATATTTTAAGTTATGTATAACATAATTGTAACAGCCACCTGACTCTCCTTTACCATTCACTGTTTCGAAGTTTTATCTTACTTCACACAGGTACAAAAAAAACCAAAGAAAAGCCCACACTGTGCCAGAAGAAAGCGGTGAAAACCTCCAAAATTAAGCTCTATATATACACGTATGCGTAGAATGACAAGTATTGATGAAGATCACCACTACACAAAAGTTTCAAACAGAACCAGACTAAGAGTAAAATGGCACAAGAGTTTTGCAAATGCCTATTTTAAATTTACTCCAACTTATTCAATCTTTCCTGACGTTTTGACAGGCATATTCAATATACATTCGTTGGGAGCCTCTTAAAAAAACACCTAAGTAAAAATCTACATAACTGTTTTCTGAAAATTAATTTTGCCTTTACAACAAAACATGAGTACTACCCATACTTCCCATAGTACCTTCAAAATATTCATTTTGAGATCATGTGTGGGATGTAAACCAAAAGGTTCTTCAGAACTTCTATGTTTACATCTCAAAAAAAGTGACTCCTTTGCTCCCTTACTAAAAGATTTTAGCTCTTCCTTAACCTAAAGTTATGGAGAAACATTTCTTCATCCCAAATACAGGTATCTGGCACTTAAAAACATTTATGTTTAAATTATGAGTAAAGGAAGACAGAGCCTCTGAAAAAAGGGTGTAACAGCCAAAAGTGTGACAGAGTACTCCATAAAGAAACATTCTTTACAGCAGGTATCAACATGATACAAAGTAAAGTAATAAAAGCATTAAAATTGTTTCTTTTCCTCAACAGTTCAAATAATGCAGCAGCGTTTTTTTTTTTTAATCTTTTTGTCAAAAAAAAAACCAAAACATGCTACAGCTAATCATTCTGTATGCCTACAACTTCATTTTGCACAGTGATCCTGTTACTACTACTAAAATAAACCACACATTATAGTGTTAAACATTTTTCTACAGATAATGGTTAGGCAGTATTTTGGAAAAAGTCCTCGGTCCCAAGGAGCTTCAGTAGTTCAAAGTGGCAATTCAGCAGATGGCACTCTTCTCTCTTGGTACAGAAAGAAATGCATTGGGCATAGTGCGGTGTCTTCAATTTGAGTCATTAATGATCACTACTTTACTGTTAACCTGGGTGTCTTCATAAAGTGTAGCTAAATATGTCTGTTTACATATATGACCATAGGTGATTTGGGCAAGATGTCTGCCTTCATCACAGACTGGTATTCTAATTGTTTAAAAGTAGCATTTTCAGTTAAATGCATTACTATGACTAGTGCCATAATTCCTATATAGGTATATTCACATTAGGTAGAATGCTATCCAAAATCCCCCAAAACTTCAGTTTGTAAAACATTAGATTTAGTGAAGTTCCTTGGTTCAACTAGGTTTACTGAATGAAGTTACAAGAGAAAAAAAAAAAGGTGCTGAATGTTAAAACAAGCTTTAACATTTGGTAGATGAGAGAATCATCAAATTGCATCAAATACATGATTTGCAGAGGCCCTATTAAAAAAAGGGCAACAAAATGCTACACCTTAACTTGCTCAAGTTATAAAACCTTGAAAGTCTAATTTTTAGGAGTTTGCACATGAATTACTGAAATTACATAGTCTGTAATATGCAAGCTCTAAGACCAAAACTATTGGAAGTTAAAGCACAGCTTGTAATTTCTGCTTTGGATAATCCAAACTGCTGTTGAATCAGGCACACCACCTGCACTGTTAATACCCCCTTCAGGTCTGCACTGCCTGTGAGCTGGTAATGTAGAGGAGGAACCTGCCAGACTCGGAGAGAACAAGGAGCAGGCCAAGAGGAATAGAACAAGGGAAATGGAAAAAGTACCCTGTGAAGACTGGACGAGGGAAAGACATGTTTTTCTCTTGAAGGGCAACAGAGATTAACCCCACCTTTAGGTAGCTTATGAGACAGAAGCTACCACACATGCATTTACAACTTTTGGGAAGCTACACTTTCATAAAACTGAAACATGGAAAAATGCCCATTTCTAGACTGAGGACGAGACTGACAAGCACTGCTGATGTATACAGCAGCTCAACACCATCCAACCACCACCGCTACCAAACCTGAACCCAGGCGGGAACAATAACATGAGAATTGTTTTGCATCATTCCTGCAACTCAACTGTAGTACTTCCATATTGAATGTTGGAATTTAGTTTCAGTACTTCTAAGTAGTCAATTTAGCAAATAATATTTTTTACTAGAATCTGAACTTCAAATATTACCATTAAATTACATCGTACAAGTCTGTAATCAAACCATTAAGTGTTAAAATCCTGACAAAGTATTATTCAACAATAATATATATAATTTCTTACTAATTCCCTGATGCATATAGTTTTAAAAGATTAATCACTTTCCACTTAAATGGAGAAATCAAATACCATACTGACATCTAAATCTTCTTTGCAGAGTCATGCTGATTAGGTTCCCTTTCCCCAAGTTTTCAAGTTTTAGCAGTATTACATACCAACAAGATTTCTGGGAACTTGAATAAAATCCTCCACAAATTCCAAGTAACTTCTAGCCTTTTTTACTGCATCAGCAGTCTGGAAATGAAATTAAAAAAAAAAAGTTTATTTGTGAATATAATATGTTAAAAATAAAACCTTGTAGCAACAGCAGCAAGTCTTCCAAATGTCAAACCTATTTTCAAAATGAGAAGAATAGAGACAAGATTAATGTAGTTTTGAACTAAATGTTAAAGAATAATTGGGTAAAATGCCCAAAAACCAAATTCAGTAGCAAAGCAAAGCATCAGTAATGAATAAAACAACTTTTTCCATGCTATTTTAAGACATTTTAAAATATTATTTGCAACTTATCATAAGTAAACCCCCAGACATAAAATATCTTACAGATATATCTTGAGGCAGTTTCTGGTAGACATTAGTTGGGAAAAAACAGCTAATTATATTCTTTTTCTCCAAAACCAAGACATAATTTTCAAATCTAGAATCCATTTATTAAAAAAAGAATCAATATAACAACTATCACAAAGATTCTGTACTGAAAAGAAGTAAATCTGTAAGAGGTCCTACCAGCATTCATAGAAACTTCAGCTTACAAGAATACTACATTAAAAGGAACTTTGGATCATGTATCTCGTTTCACCTGACCCGCAGTGAATGAGTAGTTACATGGCTATAATTAGATGGGCAAGCCATAAAACTATAGTTTAACCTCTGCATTTTCCTCTAAACTGCTTTGGAAGCATCCAGTTTTTCTCCACAGAAACTGTGCTACCATCGATACTGTCAGCAACATAAATTTGCTTTTGCAATTTTTAACGTCATTTTTTAACATGTAATGCACTATTACATTTCCCAGAGGGCCACATGTGGAAGAATGGGGAGGGAGAAATGAATTTTAGACTCGTTTGTCTCTTGACAGTATCTAAAGGTTATGTCACCTGATAAAGATAAGACATTTTCAAGGTTGAAGGGCAATCTCTCCACAGAACTTTACAGGCTCACTGTAAGCAGTGACTGGCTTTACAACCTTTTCCGTAAGAAAGGTGTACCAATTTTTCAGAACAGCCTAAATAGAACAGCTGTTAGAAGTTCTCTCCTCTATGAAGTTTCTGTTGTCTTACTCAGTATTCAAGAGAACGGAAAGAAAACTCTTACTCAGTATTCAAGAGAACAGAAAGAAAACAACAAAATCAGTCACAGAACCTTTGTTGTAACAGATAGATCCATTTTGCACACAAGTCTTAATACCAAGCACAGTTTGCAAATACCCATTAATCTTCAGTGAATAAACACTGCCAAAATGGCTTGCCCAGGACACAACCCACTTGTATCTTCAGGAAAGGGACTCGCTGCAGAAAGGTTGGGAGGCCATGTTCAGAGCATAGCGCTCTACAGGAAAATTAAGCAGTAGTCAGGCAAACTGGGGATTCAAAGGAGCGACAGCGCTGCAGGAAGGTATAGAAGCATAGAGACACAGCACACCAAGCCTGTTTACAACTGGTTACAGGTAGGAAGTTTTCCGTTTTCTCTCGAAAAATTCTTCTACTTCTGTTTCTCTCCTGTCTTAAGCCTGACAGGAAACTAAGCCTGAATAACCAACACCTTCAGAGAAACTCTCCCGTAACTGCAGGCAAATCACACTAGTGCAGCCTGAACTCTGCAGCGATCACTGAAATGGTGTACAGCACTAAGGAATCTGTCCTAATCGTACCACCTCTGCATTGTAAGTAGTATTACAAGCAAGGCACTCTCCTTCCAGAACGCTGGTTTCTAGCCACAGTTCATCTACAATGTTTTCCAAGATAGGACAGTGTCATTGGTTAGTGGGGAGAACTATAAATGCTCTCTTACAGTTTTATTATTAAATGACAGAAATTAATTGACAGTTAATTGAGATTATACAGTCGCTGAAACAAGAAACAAAGCTTCAAATTAGCAACACCAGAAGTGCAGAATTAAGGGACGAATATCAGTATCTAGTCACTAATGATGGCTTTGGGCACAGTTTCAATTTTACACTAATGTGTCAGCCCTTTCATCTGTCATTTTTTTAGGCAACACATGAAATAAGAGTACGACCAGCTCCCATCTTTCAATCAAATCAGGGAAGTCCTAGAAGAACAAAAAATTTATAAACCTCTACTTCTGGCAGTAGTCAGAATGATAGCAAGAGAAACATGCGTGAATTGGATTTCAAGATAATGAAACAAGCAATAAAGCATGGGAAACAGACAAACAGGAAGCTGTCGGAGGGAGCAGAGGCTATGCTGCATACTCAAAGCAACTGCTAAAATGATATAAACTTCACCACACTAGCAACTTTTCCACCTTCAGTGAACTCTACAAATAGGAGACAATTAACTAAGGAGTTCACAATGTCCTGCCTCAGAGGTGGGTTTATCAATTCTTTCCCAAATAAAGATGAGGGAACAGCAACTGCTTTCACAGAAGCAGAGTCAGGATGAGAAAAACAACTGCCTGTAACTGGAGTTCTCTAGTGCACCCATATGCATATCAACACTTTGCCACAAGCACTCAGAATTTTTGTCTAAGTACAACCTATATGACTCATTCACACCCCAACATGAGATAGCATACAAAGCTGATGTAGACAATGTATTCTCAGTTCCTCACAGTCAGCAATTCAGAAAAGGACAAGAAAAATAATTTCTCTCTCTCAAGAAAAAAAAAAACAAACAAAAACAAACCCAAACCAGTGTGCACATGGATTAAAGACCTCAAAGAATTCCAGTTACTAGTAACTACCCCTCTGACTTTGAATGACAGTCTACACATCCATTCATGCTTTGGTTACTTCATATAGTAGCCCATATAATCAAGACACATCCAGGTTACCTGAAGAGTCTTTAATAGAAAGATTAAATGCCAGCTATTTTTCTAAACTCAGCATTATACCTTCTGCAGCAGGACAGTTCTAAATGAGAGTGTCAAACAAGAACTGTTATGGCTGCAGATTTTAGGGAAAATGTTTCGTAACACAGTCACTAATGTAGATCTAGTGGCTACACGCTGGTGGAGTGCACTCCTATTACAAATGGTGGATCTGTCTCAGAAGTCTCACACCAGTTTGAGACAAGGTTTCAAAAGTTTCTCCAAAGTCCTGGTAGCTCTTTTAGACCTTCCCTAATGGAAAAAACCAAAACTACTGCTGGGAATCATTTGAAAAGCCTTATCCCATGCAGATAAAGACAAAGCCCTCCTAAGTCATGGCAGGGAACAATGTTTTTTCCATTGTGATACAAGTCTTTTTTCAAGAAATAAAATAAAAGGCATATTAGTCTCCTAGTTTAAATGAAACCAAGCTCATGAAAGCTCCAAAGGGAAAACTAGTTTTCTTGTTTTCTCCAAAGGGAAAACAAGAACTAACAGTCTCCTGAAAAAGCTGGGATAGGATCTTCCTATCCTTCTACCCAAAGTGAACGGTTATCATACAGTTAAGTGTCTTAAAAAATGGTGTAAGAGGAAAGAAGCTCAAGTGTTAAGAATTGCACAAGAACTGAATGCAATTCAATTTAGCCAGTAATGAAGGTTTAAGAAAAGATTTTCTGTTTCTTTTCTATTTCTGATAAGGCTCTCCCCTCTGGGGAAGCACAAAATTTCAAAAGTAGGAATAGCCACTCACTGTCCAAGCTCTGAAGTTCATAGTACTGTGGTCTCCAGAACAGGTAACACAAGCAGCAGTTCAGGCAGAAGGGGAAGGGTCTTGTCTTGGAATCAAAGTGGTCTTGACCAGGCCAGGAAAAAGCACGAACCGTTTAGCTTCCTTCTAATCATACAGCTCTCCAATATTATTTAAAACTTATCTCCCTGTTCCCTCCCTCAAAGATTCTGGCCCTGAACAATGAACTTTTATTTGTATGCAAAACGTTAGCAATGGGAGACCCTCAGACCCTTGCTGCAATGTCAAGGACACTGGATCACTGCTCCCACACATCTCAGCCTAAAATGGTTGCCTGTGTATTCAGCCATTAGGGCCTGTCGGCTTGCCAACTTCAGCTGAAAAAACGGCAAAAAGAGTAGACAAGTATACCTAGATGCTGAAACCCTCATCATGTGGAATATTTAGGTTGCCTGGCTTTTTTAGAAGCAGCTATCGCTTCTAGGAAGGCTGGATGTGTCTAAAGGCATTTTTATTTAGGGGGCATCTGGTATTTATAATCGTTGCTATGCACTACTGTAAGAGGCTGGTGACAGTCATAACCTTTCCACGAGTTTCAGCATCACATCGTTCACATTAAAGAGACTGAAACTAGAATATGCTAGTCATTCTACTGCGTTTAAACTTGTCTGATTCTTCTCCATAAACTGCAAGATGGGATTTACTGGTAGCACTAAGTCAAAGAAGGATCTGTTGCTACTCTGATACCCTGGAAGCATTTAAGTTTTCCAAAAAAAGGACACAAAACTTCAGAGATACTGAAGAATACAGAAGTCTGTCCTCCCCTCAGCAACATCAACTTCATCTGACCCCTGGATCACAACCAGGTTCTACTCCTGACATGCATGAAGCACAATTCAAGACCACAGATTCCCGAAACAGTAGTCAAACAAGGGTTTCTAAAAGTGTTAACGCCAGAGACTGCAGTGTTAGTGGCACCTGCAGAGTTGGTAACATAGGATAAAAACCCTCAAGAAATGTCCTGACAGGGCCCTGGTGACAGTGGCATCTTTGTCACTACTCTTCTGCCTCCTGAACGGATCGTTTTGGTCCAAAGACCAGCTACATTTCAAGGCACATCAGAGTCACACAAATGGAATTAACTTGGAATAAACCAGCATTATTTTGCCAAAATCAGCATTAAATTGCCAAAATAAAAGGGTTAAAAGTAGCAGATACATGCTTTAACACATCTGGCTAGGTCAGAGGAGCAGACACCACACAGCAAAACACACAGGAACTAGAAAGGGGGAGAACCAACAAGAACAGCACATACAGTCTGAAGAAGAAAAAAAAACTGATCAAGTAAAATAGCAGCAAATGATACTTCTCTCAGGTTGACCAAGATGTACAGTGCAGTTACAGAATTTGTGCATCACCAAATGGAGTGATTAGAACAGAACACGTCTTACAGAAGTCACCACTGCAATGAAGTCTTGTATTTCACACATAGTACAAGCTGCCATAGTGTGAACACACATATAGACACTCAGATGATGACTCAGCTATTTCCAGTTCTTAATTCTGGGTACAGCTCGCACCACTCTAAGGCAGGTAAGAGTGATAACGTTCATCAGATTCATTCCCCCTTACCTCTCCATAGATTCTGAAAGTACCAGTATCCTCCTCAAGTTCAATGGCAGTAACTCCTGGAACCTTTCTGGCTTGTTGTATGTTACTCCCATGTGTTCCTATAGCAAGTCCCATTAAATCTTCTCTGACTACAAATTCCTCATGAAATGCTGCAGCAAGCTGCTTTGTGCACTGAAGGGAAAACAACGTAAGACTCAGCCACACGCACTCAATGTAATGTACAGTTATGTGCTCAGTTTCAAGCAACAAGAATTACAAGCTATGGCTTACTTCTAAGTGTTTTGTAGCTTCTTCGTTTCTTGACATAAGCATAAGCTTCGTACGAATGCTGCGCAAATGCATGTCACTCAGTATATTCACTCGCTTCACTGTTGCTTCGCTGGCAGACTACAGAAGAGAAAGAACATCAAGTTTCATTTTTTAAGCAACTCCACATTTAAATAGGTTCCTAATTTATCTTTCAAACTAAATCATAAACATGATCTAAATTTTCAGTACTTACATGGACATTATTCTTCCTCAAAACAAAGCATGAGAAATTCAGTACCACCTCTGCAAGCCAGCAATTTTCTGTTCTCACAGCATATTTTACACTAAAGATTTTGCTGCTGGATATACACAGTAACTCTTGCCCCTTGGTGTTCCCCACGCAAACAAATGAAGTATCACTCTACCATATACATACTTGTCACTCACTGTATGAATGGCAGAGCTAAGGAAATAAGCAAGGAAAACACAATTCTGGAGAGTGAGGTTGAAGTGGATAATTTTAAGTAAACACAACTGTGAAGAGAAACTAATGCTGGGAAAAGTCTACATAATAAGAAAAAACTGTCACAGAAGAATTTAAGTGAACAATTCCTTAATGGCTATGCTGAACTGGTGCAGTTCTTCATGTGGAAACCCAGCTGTAGGTCAAAGCAGTACCAGGGGCAATCTATTGCTCCAGAGCAGAACAAGCTAGAGCTAGCTTTGAGCCATCTGCACAAACCAGTGAAACGGCACTCAGTTGTGGATGACAAAAATCATAAAAACCATGAGACTTTGCACCTTTCAAGCTGCTCCTAAATTTAGGCTGTATGCAGTGCAGTACTTGTACCCCCTCCAAAAGGCCTACCCCCAAAGATTAAACACATCTACTTATGTTAAATCTCTCACAATTTATATAGCTTGATAAGTTAAACAATTTTCCATACAAATATACAGCTGGCTATATACTTCCCATAAATAATACACTGCAAATTCATGCAACATTTACATAGAAATAATTACTTACCAGTATTATTAGTTGAGCAGTTTCAGCATGATAAAAAATTCTACACGCTCCCACAGCTTTCTTGAAATCTTTATGTGCATTTTCATTAGCGCACCTAAGGAGAGAAAATGTTATTTCAACGAGATGCACCAAAACAGAACAAGTAATATCATGAACAGAACCAAGAACATTTCAGAGTAGTTTATGACAAAGACTAGTCAGAAACTGGAAAACTCCCGTTCTCCTTAACATGGTTCCAGAGCTTATTCCTCTGTGGACTGTGTGCCATCATGGTTATTTGGCAAGTCTCAGTACCAGAGGCCCGCTCTGAGTGCGTCATCTGTACAAGCCTAAAGCAAGACCTGAAGCTCCCATGTCAGAGCTTGTCCCCATCCCAAAAGCTCAGCAGGGATCCCAGTAGTTTCTAAACCAGCTACTGCAGCCATAGCCACCCTTAAGGATCTTCATGGACCTGTAAACTGGCCTCTAAAACATAAGCCAAGTGGGTTTTTTTCCCCCTCAAATACAGTAAATGCCTTATTAAAGTGCGCAGAGCTACTCACGCATCTCTCAGATCCTCAGGAACGTCCACTGTGCACTTGAAAAAGGTGTTCTTTTTGACAGTTTTATTTTGATTCACAGGTCGGAGTCGTTCATAAGTGACAATTTCATTGTAAGTGGCATCACAAGCAGCATATTCAATGACATAGAACTATGGAAGAATTTTTTTTTTTTAAATAGCAACTTCAGTAAGGAACAAAGACAACATAGTAACATTACCAACATCACCAAGAAAGTACAAAATATGAATATATAGACTAAAACATAAATCTGAGTTGAAACAATGCTACAATTCTACACAAATGAGCCTGGACATATTTCAGTACCCATCCGATACCTCAGAGAAGTCAGGGCACCATACCAGCATAATTTCAGCCCCCCACAAAAGCATCTTTGATTGTTCTTTCTCATGCCCATCCCCCTTCAAATACCTACTTTAGTCCAGTTCAAGTTCCAAAACTCAAAATATTTACTGGAGCTCTAATTCTAAAAAATACTTAATAGAGAAGCAAACATAACTCATTCTTCATAGAAATATCTGCTCTGCAACAGTTAAAAAAAAAGCAAATCCACTGATTCAATAGGCAAAATACCTGCGAATCATGCAAGATCAAAACAAAAATAAAAATTCAATCTTTTGGATACACACTACCCCAAATTTAGAAAGGCAAGAGAATTAAGAAGATTTAATGGCTACCAATAATCTACTCCTACACTTCCACCCAATACATGCAAGTATAAAGAAGCTTGTGTGCACAGTATCCCTGAAGCTCAGGTGTCTGCCTAATCATATAAAGCTGCTTTGAAACATATCACAAAACAGGTTAAGTAATAATAATGAAGAATAAATAATAAACAGACAACTAAATTTAAGAGAACTACCCCTACATGCTTTAAAAAATTGACTCCTATAGTTAAAGATAATTCTGGTTATCGGAACAATCACAAAGCTATCATTCCATACATGGGTTGTTTGTGAATTGCACATTTAATTTGAGGAAAAAATTTTGGTACAGAACCATGTTAAAGACTGTACAAAGAAGCAAAAATTGAACTGTGAGGTTTTTTGGGGGAACAATTCCATAAAATAACTGATTTGACAATGCTGTATAAAGACACCAGCCATCTGAGGATGAAAAATATTCCCCCCCGCCCCAATCAAAAATACTAGAAAATTAAGGATTGGATAAAACGAGTTTAAATTCAGAATTTTTTTTTTTTTTACACTTTTTTGGAATAAGCAGCATAGCAAGGTAATTGATAGTAAAATTCCAAATTTCTGTGACATAAGAGAAGCAGATTAGCCCCAAATGACAAACTCTTATCATTTAAATCAGTTTGTCTCCTTTTCTTGTTTTCTTAACAATCTGTTCATCCACAAGGATCAAGACACAGAATCTTCCTTTGATAACTGCTTACCACCACCCTGCCCTTACAGAGGTCAACAGCAGTTACTATTTGTTGACAGTTTTTAAACAATACCAGAAATTGGACAATTTTTTTCTCTCAACCCTGTTTCCTTTGGTTTTAGGAATCTAATACAGTAGAAGCATCAAAACACGGGACCCTTCCTACTACAAAGTTAAATTCTCTTGCTGTCATTTCACAAAATAAAGCATTAATGAGACCACATCAGACACTGCCACAGCTCCATACACTTAAGTGTCTGAATCTACAAGTTAGTTTGCAGCTGCAACTCTTAACAGTCAATGGTAAAATACAAACCTGACATACATAAAAGCAAACCAACCAGTGTCTTTCCACTACACTCAGTAGAAATACATACACAAAAAGAACCCACAGCAACACACATCAATAGCTACAGCATGCTTAATTTATGGAGTTTAAACAGACTTTAACCACGGGTGAAGTGTACCGCTTTAGTTAATTTTTAGCACCAAGTTCAATTCACAAAGTAGGTTTGTTGAAAGTCCTGTTCTTATGCATGCACACAGTCCTCCAGGCAATTAAACTGCTAATAATGGAAGTGACTTGCTCAGCTATAAAAACACAACCCTCAGCTGTGTAATGCAGCATGGGTCATTCCAAAGCGATCTCAACTCACAATTCTGTTTTATCATGTTTTTGTATTTGTAGTACTTTATTCCTAGTTTTTCCATCATAGAGACCTTTCATACTTACTGTATTTAACACAACAGCATGAAATCAGTAGGTTTTAAAATAATTTACCTCTCCTTTCATCATTCGAACTTTTGCCAGCCACCAGCCACAAGGTTCTTGGTCATTTGCCCTAGAATAAACCTGAAAATGAAATTAGTAAGAAACACTGAAAGCACATACAGACATAATTCACTTGCCTGCATGTATAATGAAGGAAAAACACCCCAACTTTTCTAATTCTCATTAAAATGGAACAGTATTCTACACAAAAATTACTTTTGTGTAAGTTATCCAGGCACATGCTTCTTGCACAAATTTTTACTATTTTGCACTACAAGGATTGTGAACAGATTTCCTTTGCATACATTACTGACAATTCAACTGACATTTCTAAAAAAAGATAAAACCTTGGCTCAACGCTTATTCAGGAGCAATTCCTCACTAAATTCAAATACTGTCTTCACACTGAAAGGTCACACATAGAAGTAACTCCACAATTAAGATTTTGGTTTTGTCCTTGGCTTACCTGATATACCTAGGACTACTGAAATGAACCAAGTCATCATCACATGACTATGCATTCCATATTTAACAAACACTGCCAAGTTAATGCAAGATCAGATATAGAACAGATAGACTGACTTCTGAAACTTTTGTTTTCCTCATCTTCTGTAGGTTTCATTTACTCCTTATACATTTCTGACAGGCCAAAGTCATTTGCATGCAGACTAAACACAAAATTTTGCAACAGCAAGGAAGTAGAAAATAATCCTTTACATTTAACCTCTAACAAAGCCAACAAACAGCACGTATTTCATGTAAAATAACAGAAAACCCCAGCACCTATACTATATTGTTTCTTAGATTACTAGCCAAAAAACTATAAAGGTATCCCAAATAAACTCATTACTATGATTTTAAGGACAAGTAAAAAGCAGAAGTTAAACTAATGACTAAAGATACTACAATGAGCTGGCAACAGAACAGGCACCTTTTAAATTTCTGTTTAATACATCATTTCTAATTAACACTGTTTCTCTGTAAAACAGTATAATTCACACAGTTTCCTACCAGATTGTTTTAGAATTAAAAACAAAACTGGGCAATTTTCATTTTTTATCTGGAATGTAACTGTCAGAAATGTTTTGATGTGAAGATGTAATAAAGCTCTTGTAATAACAAGAGTTTTAACCCAGGTGAAATATCTGGTACATTCTCCGCTATTTTAAGTTTTAGATTTTGAGAAAGTTCCATTGGTAGCTCTGTGAAAAAACTGAAATGTTACAGTTTCACCGAAAGCCTAATAAATCCATTACTACAGACATGCTCCATTTTACGTCTTCACTTCAGTCATGTACTTACAATCATCATCACTGCCTTGAACGGACAATCAGTTATGTGTCAGGACAGTTCATCAGGATAAACTCACCTCCACTTCATCTCCTTCACCAATTTCTTTCTTGATATCAGGGGGTGGTGGTAATCTGACTTCATTAAAGGGTACCTGGCGCTCTGGCTGCCAGCTGAAAGTTGAAGAGACATTACATATTATTTCTACAGTTTTTCTGTTGTTTTCTTAGTTTTATTTTTAGAACTCTGCATTTAGTTAAAACTCGCTCTTTCCATATAGTCAAGTCTGTTTATTCATTGCTAGAAAGCAAACCTTATAAGCAAAGGAACAAAATAATCCTGTCAAGACAAAACCAGTATCTGCAAAGGTAATAATGACAAAACAATTTTTAAATTAACTAAAAAATATTTAACTTGACTGGGTTCAGTAAATGACATTCATAAAACCCCAGTGAAAAAATTATTAGATGATGTACTTATATTTCTACTGTTCAAGTCATAAAGCCTTTATACAGATGTAAGCTTATCTTGGCAGTCCACCATAGGGTTCATCCATTTCTTCACCTCATACTTAACATTTCAACTGCTTACCATTGACGTTTTAAGTATTCCAGAAAAATCTGACTCTGATCATTAAGAAAACTTTACATTTCTACCTACAAGCTTCTTAACACTCCCCAATAAATGTCTGGGAAACAGCTTCAGTTCAAAACGTACCTTTATATATGCTTATCAATATCAATTATTACTAGGTATATAAAATTAAAATTTTACCGTCTTGTACAGAAAAGCTACTTATTTTACCACAGCTGGCTCTACAAAGCATTTTACTGGTAGAATTGTATATTTTAGGCGCATTTTGCAAAGACTACTGGAGTAATTCACATCCTCTGTGTTCTCCTGAAATTCCTTTTCCTTCTACTCTGTGAATGTCACAGAATAGCGGCTGTTCCTCACTCTTTTAGCCAGAAGCTCAACTGAAGACTCTACACAGGCTGAAATAAAACCAGGGGGAAAGAAACACCTCCCAAAAAACCTTATTAACTTAGAATATCTGAGGGACTTTGACAATATCTGTCAAAGTATTCCAGTGTCCATCATTTATGCCCATCGTAATCAAAGCTCACATCAGGTACAGACAGGACCCAGAACTAACTTGCAACAGTAAGGATTACTGCAAGTAATTTGTTTTGCTTACTTCCAATACATGCAGACAGAGCAGCCTAATTCAGTGGAGTAAGTCTCAGCCTTGAGAGCAAAGGGTACTTCTACAACTTTTTACAAGATGGATACTTTTATATGTTTTCTTTGAAAAGACAGCCTATGCTCAAGTACCTCACTTACTAAAGATGTGAGGTATCCATACAGTTTTGCTCTAGCCATTATATACACTTTCTTCTAACTATAGTGGAACTTTGAAAACCAAGAAAAACCCATGAAGATTATGGGCAGCTTTTGTTGAAGTGGGAAGGTATTTTGGCCATAAAATGTTATTTAAATCTCATCCTATTTCTGAGAAATGGTGAAGGGGGCTGCCAAGAAGCACTTGCAATTCAACTGCCCTCATTGCAACTATAATGGTCACTAAATTCAGTGTTTGGGTTTTTCCTTCCCCTCCTCGCCTTTGTGAAGTTACTACTCTCACAGATGCAAAGGCAAACAGTAAGACTTGAGGACAACATACATTCCTTAAATTACGGGGTATATAAATCTTCAGTTTAGAAACAGTGTGAGCATAATAATCATAACTGAACAACAGGATCAAAAGTGTTCCAAACTCAAATGAGCTGCTTAAAGTTCTCTTGAGAATTTCAACTGTGCCATGTAGCATGTAGTTAAGAATCTAGCAAGTGGGAGCTTACAGAAAGTTATCACTGCCCATAATGAGATGCTATGATCAAAGAGACCTTGTACCTTCAATAAAATCCACTTGGAAGTTGCAGTAGGCTAATTTTGGTTCCATCTCTAATCACAGAATGGTTGGGGTTGGAAAGGACCTCCGGAGATCATCTAGTCTAACCCCCCCCCCACCAAAGCAGGTTCACCTAGAACAGGTTGCATAGGACTGCATCCAGGCAGGTTTTGAATATCTCCAGAAAAGGTGACTCTACAACTTCTCTGGGCAGCTTGTTCCAGTGCTCTGTCATCCTCAAAGTAGTTTTTCCTCGTATTCAGATGGAACTTCCTGTTTTGGTTTGTGCCCGTTGCCCCTTATCCTGTCACTGGGCACCACTGAGAAGAGTCTGGCCCCATCTTCCTGACAGCCACCCTTAAGATATTTGTAAACATTGTAAGATCCCCTCTCAGTCTCCTCTTTTCCAGGCTAAAGAGACCCAGCTCTCTCGGCCTTTCCTCGTAAGAGAGACGCTCCAGCCCCTTAACTGTCTTCGTAGCTCTCCAATGGACTCTCTCCAGTAGTTCCTTGTCTTTCTTGAACTGGGGAACCCAGAACTGCACACAGTACTCCAGATGCAGCCTCACCAGGGCAGAGTAGAGGGAGAGGATAACCTCCCTTGACCTGCTGGCCACACTCTTGCTAATGCACCCCAGGATACCATTGGCCTCCTTGGCCGCCAGGGCACATTGCTGGCTCGTGGTTAACTTGTTGTCTACCAGGACTCCCAGGTCCTTCTCTGCAGAGCTGCCTTCCAGGTCAACCCCTAACCTGTACAAGTGCATGGGGTTATTCCTCCCTAGGTGCAGGACTCTACACTTGCCTTTGTTGAACTTCATTAGGTTCCTCTCTGCCCAACTATCCAGCCTGTCCATGTCTTACTGAATAGCAGCGCAGCCTTCTGGTCTATCAGCCACTCCTCCCAGTTTTGTATCATCATAAAACTTGCTGAGGGTACACTCTGTCCCTTCATTCAGGTCATTGATGAGTACCTGAACAAGACTGGACGTGGTATTGACCCTTGAGGAACATCACTAGCTACAGGCCTCCAGCTAGACTCTGCACTGCTGATCACAACCTTCTGAGCTCTGCCATTCAGTCAGCTCTCAATCCATCTCACTGTCCACTCATCTAACCCACACTTCCTGAGCTGACCTATGAGGATGTTGTGGAAGACAGTGTCAAAAGCCTTGCTGAAGTCAAGGTAGACAACATCCACTGCTCTCCCTTCATCTACCCAGCCAGTCATGCCATCATAGAAGGCTATCAGACTGGTCAAGCATGATTTCCCCTTGGTAAATCCATGCTGACTACTCCTCATAACCTTCTTTTCCTCCACATGCTTAGAGATGACATCCAGAATGAGCTATTCCATCACCTTTCCAGGGATGGAGGTGAGGCTGACTGGCCTGTAGTTTCCTGGGTCCGCCTTCTTGCCCTCTTTGAAGATTGGAGTGACACTGGCTTTCCTCCAGTCCTCAGGCACCTGTCCTGTTCTCCATGATCTTTCAAAGATGACGGAGAGTGGCTTAGCAATAACATCAGCCAGCTCCCTCAGCACTCGTGGGTGCATCCCATCAGGGCCCATGGATTTGTGGGTGTCCAGTTTGCCTGAATGATCTCTAACCTGATCCTCCTTGACCAAGCGAAAGTCTTCCTTTCTCCAGACTTTCTCTCCTGCCTCCAGGGTCTGGGAATCCTGAAGGCCAACCTTAGCAGTAAAGACTGAAGCAAAGAAGGCATTCAGTAACTCTGCCTGTTCTGTATCCTCTATCACCAGGACACCCACCTCATTAAGCAGTGGCTGCACATTTTCCCCAGTCTTCCTTTGCTACTGACGTTACTTGAAGAAGCCCTTCTTGTTATCCTTGACATCCCTTGCCAGATTTAATTCCAAGTGGACCTTAGCCTTCCTCACCACATCCCTGCATACTCTGACAACATTCCCATATTCCTCCCAAGTGGCCTGTCCCTTATTCCACATTCCATAAACTTCCTTCTTCCATTTGAGTTTTGCCAGAAGCACCTTGTTCATCCACACAGGTCTCCCGCCCCCTTTGCTCAATTTCTTACTCACAGGGATGCATGGATCTCGAGCTTGGAGGAAGTGATGCTTGAATATTAACTAGCTCTCTAATCCACTAGAAGTGGATGGGCCAATGACAACTTACCCCTACCCCTATCAACTGCAAGATTTTTCAATAAAACACTGGAAAAGTGCACAGAAGGTTCAGTTCTCAGAATATGAGGAGTCAAAGTTTTGATGGCAAAAAGTCCAAAATTGGAGCATCTCACTGGTGAAATGCAAAACAAGATGTTTTAAGAAATTACTTGTGACTCACTACAAATTACCTACTAAGAGGATCTGACAGAACTGACACCTAATAGTCAGAAGGATTATCACAAATATCTGGCACAAATTACAAAAAAGGGAGGTACTTGCTTCTTACATCAGAGAAGTCTTTGTTTCAATATGGCTGCTTCAAACTCCAGTAGGCCTATATGAAAGTGCACCTCAAGATCCAATTTTCTGTCTTATACAATAACAGAAGTTTCCAGTTCCTGAAGCTTCTGTGTTCATTCTCCACCTCCTGACCTCCAAAAAATGTCTCTTAAAAGAATCAAGGATATCTGCCAGAGATTAATTATTCCTATGGCCACAAAATCATCATTAGCAGTCTGTGCTAGTACACCAACTTGGGAACCTTACAATAGCTGTAGATAAAGACTGATTAACAATAGCAGAAAACGCAAACTGACAATTCAGACTGCCTTCAGCAGAGGAGATGTGTTTACTTTGTTAGTGCTGATCACTATCACAACAGAATGATGTATTCAGGACAGGACACTTGCCAACTTCAGTTCTACGAAAGCCCTTATGAATTTAACTCAGTAAAAAGGGTAATAATTTATCAGATTTTCATCACAGAATAATTTGACTAGAACTGTATACACAATTCCTGATAAGACCTATTTTTGGTCAACAAAACACTCAACATATATTGTAGCCCAACCTTTTTGGAACATGGCTGCTGCTGCCAGACTTTCTTTAAAACACATGGATGGCATGGATACTAAACACTAGAAATACGTTTGACAACAACTGGCCCCCTGCTGTGAACCACAGGCACTTCCTTTAGCTTATGAGGTTTCTGGCATGAAAGTCTATGTTTTGAAAGCAAAGAGCCTTCTACTTTAAAGTAACATGGATGTTGAATATGAAACCTAAGATTTGCCACATCTCCTCAGACCATGGATAGGATGAAGGACCCAATTTGTTTTTTCTGTTTGTTGGGTTTTGGGGTGGGGGTATGGAAACCTAGGAGACAGTAATAACTTCCATAACCACCTCTGTAAGTGTTAGTACAAATTATGATTGCCACCTCATCTTCTAACTATTTTTCATAAAAGAAGGACTAGAAAACACAGGTTAGAAAGGAACAAAGATTGGACTTTGCATGGTAAACCCTAGGATTGCTTATTTTCCTCCCCTAGGATTTAGTTTTATACACACGTATATATGTATACACATATACATGTACACTCATATATGTATACACATACACACCCTAGGATTACATATTCAGGATTACAAAATACTGTTTATAAACACACACTGGCATGCTCCCTGGTATTACCTTTAATACCCAGCAATCATTCTTGAAGAAAGGCTCAAAGACTAATCTACAGGTTGGTGCTGGCAGAGTTTAGTAACAATTTTCACAACAAAAGCTGACACATTTTTGGGATCTCCACCTAGCAACTGGAAGGCAAACAGGAGAGAGGCTGTAGCTCCCAGAATATCTTAAATTAGCCCTGGCATCTCCTAAGTAATCCATGGTGTTAGTCTGAACACTGAACCACAGGTATTCATCTGTACTTTACCATCCCATGGATTACCTTCAACTTGCCACTGCAAGTCCCTAGGAGCACTGCTGTGTTTATACATTAAATGAAGACGGCCTCATGGATAATTCTTTCTCCAGGTTTGCTTACAGATTTGCACTCTTTTCCACTAAAAAGAAAAATCGGGTCCTCAGACTGGATATGTATCTATATTTATTGTCTTAATAATGAAAAAGAAAAATCAATCACCGTCAGGATACTTCTACCTGTTCCTCTCCGGCTGAGAACACTGATCAGCATTCCACAGATCAGACATATAGAGAATTGTTTATTTAATAGAAGTACTTTGGTATTTTCCATCATCTTCTGCTTTAGTGTAAGCGCATCAGGCCTCTGCCACTGATTACTATTTTAATTAAATCTGTCCATCACATCTATGGGCATCTCTAAAGATACCAAAAAAACATAAAGGACTGTGTAAATGATGAGCTGAATTCTGATACAGTGATTCAAGAAAGTAGTTCATGGAGACTGTGACAGAATAGTGAGCCTGTACTTCTAGAACTATAGCTTTTTAATGAAATCTGCTTCCTCTTAATGTCAAAACAACCAAACAAAACTCACCAAACCCACAAAACCAAACTAACGACCTAATACTCAAATGATTATTTTTTAAATAAAATACTTACTTGTTTTCAAATACAACTGTGAGCGAGTCCTCATGAACATCTTTGATAAATCCCTAAAACAAAAACATTTTTGTTGTAAGAATGCAAGTGAAATCAAAACAAGGCAGCAATTTCAATACAGCCTGAAATTAAGCCAAACAGCAGATGACCGCTAATACTATGGTTCCAATTTAGGAAAGTTCCAAGACATGATCCCACTGTTTGCACAAGGTTGCTGATATTCTTAGTTGGCTATTCTAAGTAGTACATTGCACATGGATTGTTTCAAACGACTGCTCAAATCAGACCAGAACATTTACAACTGAAAACTCACTATCAGAGTTTATTATTTTATCTATAGGTGTGCATGACTGTTTTACAGGAACAAAATGAGAGAGATTCAGGCCCAGGCAATTAGTACAACTCACAATACAACATCAAAAAGCTGTGCATAGCACTATTTGCCTTATAGTTGTTCTTCTCAACACCAAACTGCATCCCAAACTGTCTTTCAGAACATTGTAACAGCCAAGTTTGGCTAAAATTTGGCAATACAGGCTGCCCTAGAGCTAGTTATGGTGTCATCTTTCAAGTACCAAATTGAGGACTGCATGAAGCCAAATACCTGCAGGACCTCACAGGGAACCAAAGAAAGACTACAGTATTTCACAGGTTTTTTGTCTCACATTATTATGATCTCAGGAACAATTGAGATGGAATCCCACTTCCCTTTCTTTCTTTTGAAAACAAAGGGCTTCTTTAGGGGGCACCGATTATGTCAAAAACCTAAAGACAAAGAATAACCCAATACATATAGTTGTACGCAAATCTCCATGCAGAAATTAAGTTCTTACATCTCTTGGTTAAGGAAGGCATGCATGTTGCAAAAAAAACAGATAAAGGGACCAGAACAATCTTTCAAACTACTCCTGCTTTTGCTGTAGCCTAGTATTTGCCCAAGCACAGGACATCAAAGAGGCACCTGCAGTTTTAAAGGAGTAAGAGAGTTGCATAGCTATGTTAATCTGCTGAATGGATTATATCCTCATAAGAAACTGCCAACCGAGGAGGATGAAGAACGTATCAACTGTGCAAGGAGCAACTAGCCCACAGGGGTATTATGTGTCAGCTCAGGGAAAGATAAGTTTTGACACAGGAGATCCCTCAATGTAACAACAGACAGTAAAGGAGCCCATACTGACAGCTGGTTGCGAAGTGCCTATGTAAACAAATCTTCTTTCACCTGAACTTGTACTTGGGCAATGCTGTGAAGGCATTTGCTCAAAACCTGCTTTTCTGCTCCCTGAGCTTCACTCAAAACCAACTGCCAGCAGCACAGAAGACTGCTTCTAGCAGAAAGCATACTAGCAATCCTGAACAAAGCAGGTCAGCAGAAATTACCTCCCTGAACCACCTAGTGCGTTCCTAATAAAATGAACCCTTTCAAAGGCTGTCCTGCCACTGCAAGGGAAGGCAGGCAAATCTCTTTCTTTGAAAGGTAAGTAACTGAAAACAGTTGGCAATAAAATACACCTGTAATCAGAGACTTTCAGTTTCAAGAAAGTTTCTGGACAGGTAAACTGGACAGGAATACTGAAGTTATGTCTGTTTAAAGACATAAAGAGCATACAAAGTTTTACTGCCTGAAGTGTGTGTTAGCTAACAACAGAGGTAAAGCAGAACTTTTACTAAATTTATGCCAGCAACATCCCCTTTAAACACACCCCAACATGGGGATGAATTAACATGGCAAGAAGTGCAGAAAATAAGAGTTGTTCTACTACAACTCAAGCTCTATCCAGGGACAGAACACCCAAGTCAAAGCACTGCGCATCAAGTTCATGCAGTCCAACATTCTGCCGAATGACAACTTATCAACAGAAAGCAGTATTTACAGAAAGAGATTTAACTCCCTACTATGGACAGCCATTTATCTGTATTCCAAGAGTCCGTGATTCAATATTACTCTTAGCCCCATTACGCTGCTTTATTTCATAGCTGAACCTTACCTCTTATTTATGTTATTACATGCTCTCACAGTGCTCAACATGGTGTTGGGGGGGAGGAATATATGTTTCATTTCTAAGGGCAGCCTATAGTAGCTAAAATTTTATTCTGCAGATCTGAATTCAGTTATCTTTCCTCTGTTAAAAACCAGAACTTTGGAATCTCAAGAGATATTCAAAATCAGGTACCATAAAACACCTGAAAAACATTCACAACATAATGCTCTGCAGAGTTTAGAAAATCCTGAATCCACTGACTAACTGCAGGTTTCATTAATAAGACAAAAGTAGTGGAAAAAAGGAATCTCAACAACACCGAATTTCCAGGATTTCAGACAATTATTCCATTACCAGGTAAAGTCTGGCTTTCTATGTAATGGTACAAACAGATTTAATATTCACAACTGATTTTCAAGCTAACGTCTGGCTGAAGAATTGGAAAGCTGAAGCAGAACAATAATGCAGAGATACGACTAGCAGCAGACTAACAGCTGACACTGCACAAATGTCAGCTGCATAAACAGAAACATTGAACACTTTTTAATAAAATCAAAAGTACAAATTCCAACAAAGAGTCTGTACATTTTACAACACCATGTGGGTTCCAGGAACTTCTTCGCACAAGGAAGTCTTTCAGTTCAAAGCGTGCACACTGCTCTTCCCCTATGAGAATATATTGCAGACTCATAGCTAGCAGACAGGTATGCAGTAACTTACTGGAAATTATCTGAATAGCATTTTCAGTTGGCATTCTCAAACTCTTTCACTCCACAGCACTTACATATGAGATACACTCAAAATCAAATATAACATTTATAAGGTATGCATCTCAGGTCACAAACGGACATATGCAGAGCATTAAAAAAAGTTACATAATTATTTAATTACATTGGTGTGAGGCCCGAAAAAAGTCTGATCAGAGTCTAATTGTACAAACACAAGATGAATAGTGAAGGAGTAACATAGAAGTCAAAAATCCCAAGTATAATTCTTCCTACTGTTATCAATTTCTCTACAGCTGTGGGGAAAGAAATCACGTTTACAGTAACCGAAGCACAGAGGTCTATGAGGTATCATAGACTGTATGAGTCATTTGTAATACAGCTAGAAATAATCAGAATTCAATATAGGTTTTAAATACAGTCTTATAAGAAATTATTCTATTATTGCCAAGAAACATGCCAGAAGTATCATCAAAACATTTGTCAAAAGTAAAAATTCCTGCATACTACTTTCCTACCTACAACCCTGACCTTTACTATAAGCATTATCAGCTGTCACTTACAACTCCAAGATAAAAACAGAGAAAAATTTCATGTATGTCAGGATGAGATTTAGTGTAATTTTTAAAGAAGTATGCCAAGAACCTAGAGATTTTTTTTTAATAAAAGGTTTTACAAAAACACTGTGACATTAAGATATTTTGCAATACAAAGCAGATTTTTTTTTACATTAAGAGTTACATTAAATCCTATAAATTCACAAGGATTTCTTCAGAAAGGGCATGATGAACATAAAACAGAAGAGTAAATAGCCTGGTTTTCAATTAGGAACTTTGAAGGAGTTCTTCATCAGTGAGGTAACCTATACAGATTTGTACCCTAAGCTTGCACTAGTCATGTCTGATACTGCACCAAAAACATTTTCTACTAAATAAGTAATGATGCATCATCTTAATTTTTGTTCAAATGAACAAGGTACTCCATTACTGAAATTTAATTTAGCACTGCTGCCTAAGATAGATAATGCCAATATCCAAGTTTGAAATGTTCCATGTTCCTTACACATCATTCCATGTGTCCTCATTCCAAACAGAGGTGATGAGGCAGAGCCAACAAGAGACCACCAAACGCATCATCAATAAATATACTGGCATCAAAAACACATAGTGATGAATTGTTTTATCAGCAAGTAAGCTTACACATAACATTTGTGTGTGTTTTACACCGCATATAAAACTGTGGAGGGCGGGAAGGGCAGAAAAACTGATGTGACTTCATCTTGCCAGACCTCCGATGTGGACTGTCCAGATATTAGTGTCAGTCATTCAGTTTACACTGTGAGCTAGATCTCTGGAAGTCCATGTATGCCCTGCTTGCTGCAGCCCAGCTCAGGAGGCCGACAGGAGACTGTACTGTACTACAGGCTATTAATGTCATGCTGGCTCCCCAGGCACTTCGGTACAGACCTGTCTCTGCCACTCACTTGGCAGAAGCCAGGCTCCCAACACTAACTAGCACCTGTAAAACGAGGGGCACTATCACTCACTAGGACTCTTGCCTAGGTTTGGGATCAGAGATCTAGCAAATTTAACATAGGGCCATACCGTGTTAAGTATGAACAAGAGGACTTTTGCCACCAAAATCACTACAGTTGAGACATCTTCATCTCATAACACACACACATACACTCTCTTTCC